TTAAATCCAATAAAACTAGACACACGTAGTCTCCAGTGTCATTTGCCAGCAGGATGTCATTAGAAACGTGTAACAGGGCTGACTCTGTGCTATGCATCGTCTTGAAACCTGACTGGAAGACCTCCAAGATGTTATGTTCATCCAAGAAAAATTTCAACTGCATGTGCACCACATTTTCCACAATTTTTTAAATGAAAAGCAGTTTGGAAATGGGCCTGAAATTTGACAGCACATCTGGATCAAGACCAGGTTTCTTGATCAAGTGTTGGACCACAGCATGTTTAAACTGTTGGGGAACTATACCAGAAGAGAGGCTGCTGTTGATGATGTCCAACACCGATGCACCAACACTCGGTAGAACCTCGTGAAAGAAATGCGGGGGAAGAAAGTCACAGGGAGAGCCAGATGGCTTCTTCTGGCGAACTACATCCTCCAAAAGCGTCAAGGACACAGTTTCAAAAGAATTTAGCACAGCTGAACACGGAATATGGACAGAGGGGTCAGATGCGGTATTTGAGACCGGAGTCCTAGCTGTAGAGACCTTATCAATGAAAAACTGAAGGAATCTGTTGCACATCTCGGGTGAGGAATCCGAGCAAGTAGGCAGAGGGGGTTTGAGTACAGAATCTATCGTTTTAAATTGTGCATTTTTGCTGAAAATGCCCTCATATGCCATAATTAAAAAGCATGTCGATGCTTTTGACAGCCATCAATCATGTCCAGTGGCCATCATTTGAGTGTCATTGTCCCAGCTGTCAGGATTTTCCATCATGATACGGAATACAGCACACAGATCAGATTGGTACATGCTTGTTGTCTGCAGCAGCCGAGAATTTGAGCTCCATTTCGTGGGCGCTGCTCTTGGTAAGCACAGTTTCACAACATCATCCAGTAACTGGGTGCGCTTCGTGGTCTTGCTAAAAAAATGACCCTAGTCCCTCAAGTGTTGTAAAAAACATTCGAGTCTCAGGCATACATTTTGCTGAATGCAACAGCACAAGATTCAGTTTGTGTGCATAACAGTGTGTAAACATGGCCTCGGGCACCTTTTCTTTAATTTTGGCCTGCACCCCATTAAGCTCTGATGCCATCACAGCAGGTCCATCATGTGTTTGCGCTACTGGTTTTTCAACACAGCTGTATTTCTCCAACACTTCCAAGACATACGCAGCTACAGCAGGGGCTCGCCTATTATCACTCACGTCATCAAATCTTAAAAATGCTTCCTTCACCACACAGTTCACTTCACTTTTGGTTACATAGCGCAAAATAACAGAGATCTCTGCTTTGTTTGTGATATCCGTAGTCTTGTCTACCTCTACAGCAACAAATGGGGCAGCGTTAATCTCCCTTTTTATATCATTTCTTATCACATCACCGATTGCTTCAATTAGATCGTTCTGTATTCTATTTGACAAGCCAGAAAACACAGTGGATGAGTCCAAATGTCTAGCGAACCTCTCATCTTTCTCAGCAAAAGCATGTAATTGTTCTACATAATTGCCACGATTAGAAGAGCTTGCCCTCTCGTCGTGACCACGAAATGCCAACTCCTGTTTAGCTAAAAAGCAGGTTGCATTAATGAGGTCTTTCAAAATCTCTCGGTTTTCTTTTACCTTGGCATTGTGGATGCTAACGTTGAGCCTGCGCTGTTCGTTCAGTGCCAAATCGATCCTTGAGCTTCCAAAAGTTTTTAAAGCAATCTGGCTTTGAATGTGGGTGGTCGATCTCTCATGTTTGCTGAGGCTTCGTGGTAAATTTTTCATGTCACAATATCCCGTGTTAGTCCAGATATTGTCACAATTTGAGAACAAATGGCAGGGAAAGCAGGAAAGACGGTTTTTCGAAGAACCACATTCTTTTCGGGTGTACCACTCCATTTGAAAAGTGTGCGTTATCTTCTGTCCTGGCTGTCCCGTAGTTTGAAGCAAACCTTTTAGCTCCGGCGTTGGTCTACCTGTGTTAATCACGTCCACTTTTGACTGAAAGTCCAGTTTTGAGAAGTTTTTAAGCTTTGATATATAATCCTCCTCTTCCATTTTGGCAGTCCGATGTAGCAAATTAAAAAAAGGATCGCACTTGACTCGCGTGGCGCCTCTGTGCAGAAGAACAGCGCAACGTACCCGTTTGCTCACGTACGCCCTCTTCATTGCGGCAGAGAACTATCTGCCGCAACCTCTGCCTTTTCACTACGGTTTTATTTCCCATCAGCAAATCTAAATATGTCACCAAAAAAAAAAACATGAAACTTTTATGGTTAAAAACATTAGCCAGACTGTGGAAAAACAGGTCAAATAAACGTATCTGCAAACATTATATTGGCGACATACAGATATACGGCAAGCAGCACGCGCCAGTTGTATGTATCAACCCAGTTTATGATGATTGCACAATGCAATGCGCATTCAGAGGTGAGGCTCTGCCTCATCTGCCTCCCCTGAAAGCACATCCCTGGCATTTTGCGTTAGTAGCAAATGCTGCCATACATGGGGATATTTCACTTTCAACGTCCAAAGCATACCACCGAATACTGTAGAACAAAACATCATTTAAAGTGAACTATCCCTTAAATCCTATTGGCCTGTATGTTCCTATCTTCCACTTATGGCTCTGCAAATCGTGGCACATGCTACTGCTGGATGTTCTCAGCCTGACAGTTCATGTTATTGACACAATATTAATCTCTTAACAGAACCTAAGCACTGAAGCAAGACGTGAAGCAGTTATCCATGCTTTCGTACTGCACTTTGGAGAGAAGGAAGAGGACCTTTTTGAAGATTGATGGGTAATACATGATTTCATTTTAACAAGGTACAAGTGCATTTGGTGTAACAGATGTCACTGGCTTGTCATTCATGTGTCATTGGTGCCATTTAGCCAGTCTTGTTACAAGTCTTTGGTGCCATTTAATGGCCATGGCAATTCATCTTGGTAGGCCACTGATTTCTAAGTGGAGCCTACTGTAGAGTCTGTGTGCGTCAGTTTGTCTGAGTGTTGCCTTGCGACGCCCGGTGTTTTATCTCAATCCACATTGCTCCTGTAGTTCAGTTCCAACATTTCTTAAAAGGGTGTGCGGTTGAACCCTCTCTCTCTCTCTCTCTCTCTCTCTCTCTCTCTCTCTCTCTCTCTCTCTCTCTATGTTAGAGCTGTCAGTTTAGCGCGTTTTTATTGGCATTAATTTAAATGAATTTTAACGGGATTAATTTTTTTCTCGCGAGATTAACGCGGCACACGTCACAGCGGGTGTGATGTTTCTCTATAAATAACCCAGAAACAAAACAACAAGCGCGCTGCATAGGTCCATGCACGTTTGTTTTGCCAGCCACGGCAGCGCGAGACACCGAAAACTGATACTTAAAGAGTTTATGAATGGAAAGTTTACTTTTAAAAAGTTGCCAGATTGCTCCACTGACAAGACCAAAGTTACCTGTATGTTTTGCGGTCGTAAACTGAGCTATCATCATTGCACGTCGAGTCTGAAATACCACTTGATGGCCAAGCACACAGCTGATGTGAGTACTCCGCCCCCTCGTCTAGACAGGCAGCTATGGATCATTTCAAAGCGAAGAAACTGGATGACACGGCAAAGAAAAAATTTGCTGAAGCCATAGCTAAATGTATGGATACTGCATGCAAGCCTGTCAACATTGTCCACAGCTCGACTCAAGCTGAAATCATTGGCATTGCATCTAACGACTCCACTACAGATTGCCAGCGAGAGCCTCCATTACAAGCTGTGTAGAGATTGTACGTAACGGAGAAGGCTAAGGTATCCCAAGCGGGAGAAGACACTGTTTCGGGAGAGAAATAAGAGACTAGGTTGATGAGCCTCTGGTGAATAAAGAGCAGGCAGCCTGTCGAATACGATGTACGCCATTGACGCGATTGTTACTTGTTTGGAACTATTTTGTGTGGAAGGTTACAGTGTTCCGTGTCCATATAAATAAAGCGGGTGGAGCTTCTCTGTGTTCGTCTGACAGTGACGGTGCGCAGAGGTGGTGACATGAGAACGAAAGTTCAGCGGTGCAGTGGTAGCGACCTAGCGAAAATAAAACGTCTCCAGTGTTGTCATCGAACCAAGTGTAGTCATCCGAAATGATGTCTACACAAAACCGTAAAGTGATTTCCGCGCAAGAAGGACCAACAGAATCAACATAGCCTGACTGTTGTGTTCAAAGCAAACTTAAGAAAAATGAAGTATGCAACCATGGCTTAAATCCACTATAGGCTGACTACTAGTTTACCTTAGATGTTGTCATGTTTGCGAGGTGGTGGTGGACCCCAAAAAGCCTGCAGGAGGGAGGAGCAGGGTGAACTTGACGAATTGTATTTAATAAAACACAGAGAAAACTGAATCCAAAACAACCAAAGTCCTAAAAAACAAAGAGAATCCAAAGTGTCAAACAAAACCCAAGCTGTAGCTAAAACTAACAGTCAACAAAACATAATCGAGAACACGACAGCTACAGCAAACAAAGTAGACATGACAGCAACAAAGAAACAATGGCCCGACACTGAGTGGTCTTGCCGAGTCCTTTTAAAGCCATAATTAGATAACGACCAACAGGTGTGCAGCTGCAGGGAGAACCCTGCAGTGCCACCTGTTGGTCACAAACAGAATCATGACAATTAGATAGTTTTGAGGGATACATTTTTGCATCAAGCAATTTTTGTGGTCAACACAACCCAGTTGTTCGACTGATTTCCCTGCCTTAATCTCTTCCTCTTTATAAAAGTGCACACTGTTGCACGTTGCATGTTGACGACATGAAGGAGCTCTGGGGAACAACATGAAGATGAATTGGAGTCAGCCTGGCTGGTGATATGAGGTCAAAATGGATAAATGACTGATCCTTCTCCCCTGAGATGCCTAATGAGGGACATTTGGAACAATTAAATCTGAGAAAACAACTCTCTGTACATCCAAGAAATAGTACTGCTTCTGCGAGCAGTCGTCAGTCAAGACTTTCAACTAAAAGAATTTGTTACGTCAAACACCAAGAAAAATGTTTCATGAGGTGGTCACGTGTGCATGTGGCTCAATTCAGTTCTCAGTAAATCCGATAGAATTAGCCTCAGAACGTCTCCTTGGTAGCTTAGACGAGCTCCTTTTCATTTGAGAAATATAGAAATTGGTATCAACAGAATATTTCTGCGCCTTCTAAGCTGTTTTGTCACATGCACATGAGGTCGTTTAATTAAGCGTGTTCAGCAGAGATATATGCACATTTAATTTTAAGATCTGATTAATTGCCACGCTAATGGCTTTTATGCGATTTTATTGCTAATGTCACTACAAAGTATGTGAGGTGAGGGGCTATAATTTACCTTAGTTTATAAGTAAGATAACGCCAAATTAACTTCCAAATAACTCTGTAGAAGGGCAGCGCAATTCAACTGATTTGGTTTTGATTCAGATCAAGGCTAGATTGAAGAAAGTGATTCTATATATATACACACAGTGAAACTCCTCAAGAACGAAACCTACATGGGCGAAAATACCCCCTAATTTGAAAAAAATCTTCATGCATTCACACCATTCCCATTCTCCTGCCCCCCATACGACGAAAAAAAAACCCTGTTGCGTTATACGAAATCATTTTCTCTGGTCCTGCCTCGCGAAGACATTCACTACAACAAAGTCTAATCCAACAGCGACCTCTACTGCTTCGTTCGGAAACGGCAACAGCAACCACCACACTGGTTTACATAGTGAACAATGTTTATTTCGGTCACAGCTGCGAGTTTCCTGAACGCAACATACTCAAAGCTGCTCTGCCATTGGCTTACTGAGCATCCGATTAGCTGCTCAGAGTAAATTGTTTGTGGCCCGGTCAGTCAAATCAATGAACGTTTCCTGGAATGCTTTACTTATTATCATGCTAAAAACCTGATGCTAACTGGAGCGCAAATTAGAGAGAAGGCGACTTCCATCGCGCTAACTATGGCCATCGAGGACTACGAAGCGTCCCGTGGCTGGCTTTAAAAGTTCATTGCATGACATCAGCTGAGCAACGCTGTCTTGGGTGGC